ATGTATACTCCTGGTTGAAAAAAAGAGTCAAGAAGGGATCGTTGGACTGTTTCTTTCTGAAATTATGAGTTTTCAGTCATAAAACAGTTCAGAAATCAGGTCACATGCAAGTTCACAGGAAACTCTGAATGAGCAATGACAAAGACATGCCTTTGTCACAGTTTATTTGAATACACTGTGACTTAAGACTGGATGACTTGTAAGAAGCCTCTGAAGACTTGAATACAAATATGTTCAACCTATCCAGACACCTAGTGAACAATTTGAGAAGCTACCAAAACACTTAATGTAGGATTTGATGAACTCAAAATGGGTCATCTTTTTTGCTTGAACAATAAAATTTGGAGACTGCCAATGGCAATTCCACATTGGCAGCAAACATTACTAAGTATACGGAAAAAAATTTACAGAGAACTAGGTTAGAAAAAATTAACAAAAAAAAGGTTAGATGCATTTTCCCCTCCAACATTAAAAAGGTCATACAAAGGTTTGCATTGTCATATGACTCATTTTGGCAGTCAAATAAACACCGACATTGTATAAATGAAAAGACAGCAACCTTCCAATGATTTTGATTGTATGAGATTTGTTAATGAGGTCGTTATTCAAAAATAGCTCTGGAACTTGTGGTTTGGTTAGTTGGTTGAGAGACATTCTTAAGGCAAACCTTCTTCTTCTCAGGGTTTCCGACTCTTGCAAGTCCCAGGAAACGTGTCACATGCTTTGTGGTCTCAGTCAGCACCTTGTGGTTTCGATAGGGGAGGCGCTCATAGAAAGCGCCCTCTTGAGCTGCAAAATGGTAACGAGGCCTCAGTGCCAGCGCCAAGTCAGCAATCAAACTTGAACCTGTTGTTGTTGGGTCCAGCCCTTCCTGAAATTGACAAGCAACTGTGAAAAACTGAGTCGAAGTGACTGATGCAGTCACACATCATTCAAAGATCAGACACGGTGCCGTTGTTTTGAGAAAACTGGGCCAAATTGATACAAATGGACCAATAAAATTGTACATGAAGGCTAATAATTTTGTAACTCTGGTCCTGAGAAGTGTTTCAAGGCAAACAAAGTGTAATAATAGGAACAATTCACCATAGAGGGTACCAATAAGCATGTACAGCACAGGCTGTGTGGTTTCTGCAGCGGACCACAGGAAAAAGCCAATATCTACATATATACATCCAATGCTATTTAACTCACTGGAGTGCTTGCATATTTGAATACCCCCTTTGGCCAGGGTGTTGTCAGCAGCACATCCAAACCCTTGAACTTGGAATCTGATATCAAGGGTACAGCCAGTGCATCAATGTCAGCCTTGCTGAAGTTGTTTGGTTCCTGGACTGCCACATGGGCCTGCTCAGTGCCACTCAGGTAACCAATCTGCAACCCAGATGCAGCATTGAAAATGCCCTTTTTGCCTGAAAAAAACCCAGACATCAGAAATTCTGAATGCTATGGGGCACGTCTGTAACGTGTCCTGACACAGGGAAAGTACACAGACTTATCATTTCAAATACCAGACCGCTGCTACATCTGATTCCAACCAGCCAGCTGACACCAGCAAGCTCGGTGGTCAAATGGTTAAGATGTCTGCACTAGGTAAGCAGTAGGTCTTGGGTTCCAGTCCCACCTGAGTACGTTTGTGGTTTTCTTGACTAGCCTTCGGGGGCATTAACTGAGTGCACAGTGTTAAAATATGCGTCGGAACGAGCAAAAAATCCAAAATTAATAAAATACCTGAGTAAGTGACTTAATCTTTAAACCAATGATTAAGTTAACCCTATACCCTTGTACATGTGGTATATGACAACTGAAACATCATATTGAATTGGGCGGACTGAGAAGTGTCAGGGTGAGTTTCTTCAATACTTTGACTGTAAATCCCATTTATGTAGCTCCTAAATTATTTTGTAATAGAGTAAATGGACCTTGTAACCTCAAAACTGTTTTCATGAAATTTAGCTGGTTTGTTAGCCTGGTACGTGGAAACAATTGTTTTGTCTTTCATTTTTTTCCTACCTAGATAAGTGATGTTTTCACACAGTTCACAGCCATTGATGTCCTTGATAAACTTCATGTTCTCTGGCTTGTTGGGGCCAAGGATATATGTTGGAATTGGTGCTTTGAAAGGCAAAAAGAACAGAATGGCTTTAAAAAATCTTTTTAAAACTATGGAAATATTGCAACTTATGATTATAGCAAAGGTTTAAATGTCACAAAAATACATGTAGACTATGCAATACTACTTTTCTTTCATATACATGTAGGTTAAATTTTTTTGGGAATAAGTGCCGGATATTATAAAAATGTTCTAGATATTTTCCAAAATTGTTTATATGTGATTCAAAGAATTTATAATATTGAAGAAAACATAGATTTGTCAAATTTCAGATAATCTTGAAGGAAAAGACTTTTTTCAATTTCAAGATTTACCCTTTTCTTCCCCTGTCTCAAATTTTCTCCATTCTTCCTCTGCCGTACCAAAGAATTCCCCAACACAAAGCAACATCTGCACAAAAAGGATTTTCACAGATCACAGTACATCAGAGTTATTTTGGGCATCTTTCAACAATTTGTATGTTTTCTGTATACTCGATTTTGTTATGCAATATGTAAGAGCATATGCCTTCAGCAACCTTTGTCTTGATTTTCAACTCATAATTTGTGATATCCAGTTAAATGCCGACTTGAGTAAAGCCTACGTGATGATTTGCCAGACTCTTCAACGAGTATGTCACTGCACTACTCAATGACATGAAATTGGGTGAAGTATCAATGATAAATGAAATTCATGCGAGTTCCAGATTTGTCTCAATGAGCCAATACATGAAGAATAAAACAAATACAAAATCATTGAAAGACATACACCTGTAGAAAAAAACTAAGATCTCACCTCAAATGGACCAGCCTTTCGATTGACACTACTGACTCTGCTGAACAGCTGACAGAATTTACCTTCAACATCCCCACAGACAAGTCTGTTTACAGATTATAGACAAGTACAGTGTACATGAACATACTACATGCTAATCGTTACGAGGGTGGGTAATATGCATTCTAAATTCCTAATTTTTAAGAATACCCAGACTGGCGTTTGCCTCCGGATACCTTCTCTTGAAACAACTGGGCACTACTGGTACATGTATATCTGCCAACTGCACTGCACTATTGGCAGATCTTGAAGGAACTTTAGAGACTTAACATCTACTTTCCATTTTCAAAACAACATTCCACTGTTAATTAGAAAGGGGATGGTGATGTGGCATTGTGCCACAAAAAAGTCAATCATTCAATCCTTCCAGACTGGTGGTTCAGCTTGTAAGCCTCCTCATTGGCTTGATACTGTAAGAATGACTGCATATTGCATTCTGGTCATTCAGGGTTCTACTGCATGTAATTTCATGGACATTGCTGAATCGTCTTAGACAGCGTACCCAGAAATTTTGAAGGGGGAAATTTTCGATTGGCTTTTTATATGTACGTGTACATGTAAACTCTGCTAATATGATTTAAGCATACTTCAGTAACTTTCCCCTCCCCCCGAACTGTGGGGTTTGACATCCGTTGAATGGACGTCAAACCCCACAGTTTTGGGGTAAATGCTTCAGGCTACTTGGTGTCAAACCACAGTTCTGGGGGTATATGGCATGCTTCAGGCATGTTGGTGTTTTGAAAAGGGGAAGAAAGGGAAAGAATTTCAGGGCAGGAACTTTATGGAGGCATCAAAGGCAATTGTCTTGATGCCCTTGGTCTTTGCCTCAATGCCCATTGAAATGTCCCCATAGACAAGTTGAGTTTTTAATACAAATGCCCTTGCAATTTTGCAAATGAGAAATTGCCTTGCCCCTTCAACAGTTCAACATGTTCAAGAACAAAGTTCCTACCCAGGAATTTCATACATCATTACATGATGATGTATACAGATGCCACTTGACACCATATGCAAAAATCCTTCAAGACTGGTCAGAAAATTTCTGAGTGTTCTCTAAGTGAATAGGCCTACCTAAATATTTTCAGGCCCAAAATTCACAGTTTAGGGCATTGGAAATGTTTGAGTTTAAATCAGAGATGGTCACATACATGACATACATATTGTAAGTCAGTCACACTAAAACTTTAGTACAAGTTAGGTCAGTGCCATAACTGCTGGGAAAATTAGACTAGTGGCACCTGCAAAATGGAACTCTTTCCCCTGAGGGAAGACGTCTTCATTGCATTGCAACTGCAATGAACACGTCGTCAAACTTGGGCCAGATACTCTCGTGTCACGAGTCACGGCCGCGTCGGCTATAAGCCTAATAATGGTTGGCCGGCGTTGGCATGGTTGGGAAAAAACGTTACACAGACATCTCTAGATAGTCACTTACATCTTCAAGGCCTTTGCAGACATTATTCCCAGTACTATGAAAGTGGTATTAATAATTAATGGCCAGTTAATCTCGTTAAATGTTAAAAATGAGGTAAACTGGAACAGATAAAAACAAAAAAAGCCGCTGAAACAATTAGCTTATGGGCGCATCCATGTTGTTGGATTACGGCATAATTATGAATTAACTATTCTCCAGCTCTGACTCTAGGTGGCGCCATATTACACTAGACAATGTACACGTAAATTGCCGTGCAATTTTCGCTTGCCCTAAATGCTTGTACTTTGTAGGCCTAACAACAATTCTGTTTCAACGAGATTTAGCCAGCATCAGAAAGAACAGTATCTGCTGTTTAGTGAAGGGTAGGCTACTTCATTCATTGGTTTCCTTTGTGTTGAGAAAGATTAGATTGTTGGAACGGTTTAGAAGCAAGTTTTGACATGGTAATGCATCATGAATTGATGCATTGCATGATGCATGATGGTGTCGTTAGTCATGTTACTTAGTTTATGTTACGCCCCAACGGGTGTCAGTCAATTTGCCCCATTTCCACTTCGCCCCATGCCACTTCGCCCCATTGATTATCGTTCATTCTGTTCTTCATTTTCAGTAAGAGAAGCATAGCCTAGGCTTAGATCATAGATGCAAATAGTAAAAACATTTATGTTAGAGTACCCAAATAACGATTGGATAATCCAATTTTCAAAGGCCAAAATATTTCTCGAACGCCGGACCCAAATTTTTCGGTGAGACCCTCAAATTTTTATTGGCAAGTTACGTGTATATGTAGCCTACTTGTAGAAAAAAGTTTTCTTTGTGTTTTCTTGTCCCTGTGGTAAAAACATGGGAGCAAAGTGCTGGTTCCCACCGAACCTGTGTAAGAGAATGCTTGATGGAGTGTGGCAACCAGTCTATTCATGCCGCGGCAACTGTACATGTTCAGTACATCTACGTGATGAGAAATAACTCCGATGCTAGTCCAACCATGTATTAATTCGCCATTATGGACAATGCAGTCGACATTAATTTACATGTAATGCCTTAAAGTTTTCCATAATAATTACATTTTGTTTGTGGAACTCCGCTCTGGACCATTTTTTGAAGCCCCAACTGTAGTGCTGCAGTTGGGCTGGCCCAACTGTTGTTGACCAACTTCTATAGAAATTTTTTCAACCTTGTTCAAAGTTATGCATCTTCGACACAATTCATCTAGACAGGTCGGGGAACCTAACCACAATCTAGTGACGTCCCTAGTTTCTGCTTATGTCGCTAGTTCAAGCGGCAATGACGTAATTTTTATCAGGTCACATAATTTTCCTGCTCGATTTTTGGAAAATACGAGATTTGAAATGCCGGCAGCCAACATGGCCGGCATTGCCGTTACCGTTGGAGTCTATGGCAAAATTGTTTCTGATCGTTATTTTGGAAAATCGCTATGGTAAACATAAAATTTGCCACGGTGAATCGATGCAGATTTTTAATGGCAACATTTTCATGCATAAAGTAAATTTCGGCAAAGCTTCATTTTTTTCGCGTAAACATTTTCATTGGCAGAGTTGGACTCACCTGCCTTCCGAATTCGACACATCCAGTGCAAGATTCGACTGAAAAATTTCCTTGATCCACTTTTAAAGATTCCAAATGAAAGTGAAGTTTCTTCTGGGATAGCATATTTCCTGTAAATTTGATCAATCAGAAGAACTGGTTTGGAAGTTTTGGCCGATAAAGAGATCAATGTCATCTGCGAATCGTGATCTAAAAATAGTTCAAAAATTACATCATCATTGCACAAACGAGCGGCATATGCATAGTCTGGCATCATCGCTAGATTGTGGTTTGGTCCCCAACCTGCTAAAATATGTTACTTCATTTATGACATGACACTGTAAACAATGAATATGACTTTGGCACATGCTGGACACATACATGTACTGTACCCTCAGAACTGTGGCGTCCAACGTCTGTTCCGCTCCCACATGGGAGTGGAGCGGACATCGGACACCACAGTTCTGGGGGTACTAAACACATGCACACTGGACCCCTGTGTTGTAGTTGGTCCAACTTAGCACTCTAGTTGGGATGGGCCAAACTACATGTACATGTATAGTTGGGACGGTCACAACTGTAGTTGGGACTGATGTTATACATGTACATGCATTTGAGACGTAACAGTGTTACACCCGAGTACAGTTTCGAGTCAACTCGGACCCAAACCAACTGGGACGCAGTACCAACTTGGACCCATAGCCAGCGTTTTAGCTAGCAAGCCATGCAGCCGTGTTTTGTGAAGGAACAGCCCATTTTTTCAACTGCGGCCCGGTGGTGCAAATCAAGCCGTGCAATTCTTAATTCAAGGCTTGTGTAATCTGGGTCCCCAAAAATGTGAAAGTAAAATCTGAGCTAAAATTCAGCCTTTTCCCATCCTTTTTCCTGGCTCCATCAACCAAGTGCAAAATAGAAAATACGCTGCATTACAGTGTACAAAGCTACATGTGAATAGATGCATGATGGTGCAGCTTGTTTGATGTGCCTTTTGCACTCCATCATTTCTGTTGCAACCAGAATGCTAGCAAAGGCAATATTAGGGGGAGGGGTGTGCATCCTAATCACTCTCCAAATGTCAGTTACTTGTACAACATTGAATGTTGAATGTCTAACAAGGAATACATGTAAGTAACTAACTTCACACAGGTCCAAAAATCTTATCAACCAAGAAGACTAATGTCTGTAACCTTGTGGTCACCATGTCCCTCATTTTGCTACCCATGATCGTCAAATTTCATTGGTCTTCACGGCAAAATAAGGGACCTGATGACTTAGTACTAAAGTGTGACGTCATCTTGAACCAGGAAGTTTAGTGCAAACAAATGGAGTACACACACGTGCTGGTTCACACGCTGGTTCCCACACTAATGCCATTTACACACATAATGGAGCATGCAGTGTATTCACATTGGTACTCTGTATACGTGCATTGGCTACATGTAGTTGGCTACATAATTTACTGGTACGATCAATGACTGATGCATTCACTTAAGACGAAATTCCGGAAAATACCAGATACTTTAGTACCAAATGAAGTTCCAAGGCCCTTGTTTTCACGAGGATCAACTGTACATGTATTTCATTTTGTTCAGATTTATTGCTCCGAAGAATTTTCACTCGAGGAAAGTAAACTCCAACGTTGTACTTGGTCAGAACTCTGAATCCAATTCTGTGAATACTGACATTGTCATGCAACTATGGAACCTAATAACAATTTTTCATGGTAAAAAGTTTCTATATGTAAGTCCCTCTCCCCAAAATATTTACAGCACATGTTCATTGCTGTGCCAGAGAAAAAGCCAAAACAAGTCTTGGACCAATTTATAGTGAATATTATTTGACACCGCCTAGCTCAAAAGTAATGTATTGGCTTTAAATATTCCATTACTTCCCTCTAGAATTGACACTTGTTTTTGTCTGCTAGTGATACTGAGAGCACTCATCAGAAAGACAATGGGATCACTGATGCTGTCATTTCTGTTCACTTTACCTGTCTTCCATTTTGTTCTCCAAATCCTTAGACTTGATGACGCAGCACATTAGTGCCTTGATACACCATGGCAACTGCATCAGAAATCGCTGCCAAAAATGCTCTCATCCAGTCTACAGCTGGTGCTATCCCCTTCGTCAATGAGAAGGGTAAGTCTTACAAAAATTCAGACAGAATTTCCTATGGATGATGTACAACCAAACTTTGACCTTACGCTTTTTTTAAACTGCCCGCTGGGCAAGTTAAAGACTGCATTTAATAGTCTACAGCAGTTTTTACTAGAATTTGTGTGTCGGTCTAGTGCAAGGTCATGGCTTGTTCTACTGGTAATCTCTGTAATTACTGGGCTGAGTACACATAGCTGCATACATGATTATGCAATTCCTGCCCTCGGAGCTTTAGTTTCCAGAACAATTCACTCCTTTGTGAATAAGTTTGAAGTCTCAGAATACTACAAAACAGAGTATTTCATTTATTCTACTGGTATCATGTTTTTAGGCATTACTAAACAATCTTGGTAGACACTCACATTCATGCCGTGTCCCTGTGACCTTAACTTGTACAAGTGCTAATTTCATTTTGTGTAACAACTTGAGCAATGTCATGGTCAAAGTGCCTTGTATAGATTGGCACTGTGTGAAATTTGTGGTGATAATGCATGATTCTTACCTAACTGTCCCTGTTTGTATTATTCTTGTAGGGGAGGTGAGCATGCAGAAAGTGAAAGTCAAGAGATATGTGACAGGAAAAAGGTATCCCTGCTCAATTAGATCTCACCTACAAACATTACTCATAGGATAATATACATGTATATGTATATTCACATGGTTTTAAGAGTTTTGGCCAATTTGAACAGAATCGTACAGCAAAAAAGCATTTGTTTTGCTGTTCAAATCATCAGAGTTCGACAGAACCAACTCTTTCTTGAATATGATGGGTTCTGCAAAATTTAGGATTACAATTCAGATAGAGGCAACAATATGACTTGTCATGTACACATGATGAAACTAGGCTTGGTTTGGAACGCGGTGACATGTTGTTGTTGTAAATTGTGCATTTTAGCTTTTCACTTTTTACTTTTCCAAACAGGCATTTTGATGTTGTTACACTCTGGAAAATAAGTAATTTCAAGCAAGTACACCTTTGTAATCAAATTAGACGTATCATATTTCTTGTGATGTTATTTTAATAAAATAAAAACAAATCTGGAAACAAAGTTTTCAGATACTTCATAAAATAGAAGTGATTTGTTTCAATTTGGTCCAACTCCATAGGCCAGACTATGCACCCGACAGTAGCAGTGATGAAGAGGATAATGTAGAAGTTCCTTTTGTTCGGAAGTCAAAGAGCAGTGCTGGGGCAGTGCCTTCCTCAAAGGAACCTGACGAAGAGGCTGACTCTAGACTGCGGCGACTGCGGGATCGAGAACAGGACATCGAGGGTGACGTTGTTGAGAGGTAGCACATTATTTGGTCTTGTTTTCTTCTCAGTTTTCTTTAGGATCTAATTTAACTATAGCTTCCTCGTGACTGCCATGCCAGAGCTCCACCAACTCTATGCTTTCTTTTAAAACAAGCCTTGGATTAGGGGGCTTAAAACCCCCAGTCTTGATCGAATGACATGCTGTTTAAAACTGCTGTGAGAGAATCTTGCTTTCATTCAAGCTTGAGATATGTTATTATTGCTGTCCAGAATTGCAAGGCACCGCCATGTCCACGGTCCTGAGGTCCTCGATGAGGGAGAACTAGAGCCAGAGGATGAGGATGAGGTGGATGAAGATGAAGACAGCGACCGAGACTATGCCTCACGGCGAAGAATGCATGTAGTCCATCGTATGGAGGCAGAAGAGAGCAGCTCAGATGAGGAAGAAGAACTAGATGAAGAGGAGATTGAGAGACGGCGAGCCATCATGCGAGAGAGGGCACAAGGACGTGGAACAGCCAGGGAAGATGAGGAACTTCTTGGGGTAGAGGAAGATGACGACGTAGGAGACAAAGAGGCAGTAGGAGATGAAGAGGAGGAAGAAGATTCTGAATATGAAGAATACACGGATTCTGAGGAAGAGTCAGGGCCCAGGTTAAAACCAGTCTTTGTTGCAAGGTTAGTGAACATCAAACTAATAGTTGGTAAGAGGTTCATAAATAGAGCAACGTTTTCATATTAATGCTGCGGTGTTGGAAACTTGTTATTTTGGCTGGTACTTCAGCCTAGTCTTTCAACACATAAAGGGTACAGTTTCTTTTATCAGAAAGTCAGAACTGAGTCGTGTTGACAAAAAATTCTTACGATAGTGTGTTTGGTCCCTTCAACATTTGTTGGTGGGCCTTTACCAGGTAAAGTGGACAATTTCTTTACTAAGGTAAATTAGGATCGAGTTGTGGGGAGATTTGTGTATCCCCATAACATTTTAGTCCCCACAAAATAGCTGAAATATTGTGTTGTTTGTCCCCACAACTACAGAACAAGTATGGATGTGATTTTTTTTGTGTGTATATTGAAGTTTGCAGCAAAGTCCATGTAATATGGGTAAAAGTGTAGAATTTTGTTTTGTTTTGTTTTTGTTTTTGTTTCTGTTTTTTCTTGGTGTCTGTGTGTATTAAAAATAAATTAAAACGACGTTTACCATTTACTAAGTAATTTTTCTATCAAGGTTTATTACATTGCAATGTCATGTAGCCTTAAGCTTGAGGCAGACACTTTACAAGATCACTTTTTTTTTAGATTTCAATGATTTACTGATTTCCTTTGAATTCTCACAGTTGGACAATTGGCATCAGGCATGATCTAACCATGTCCTTTTTAAGAAGGGAATGTTCATTTTTACAAAATTGAAATGAAGATGTTATGTACCTGTATTTTCCAACTTACTATACTATAAACCTGTTATTGTTTGAACTTGTAATATCACATTTTTTCACAAAAATTTGTTACATTTGTTACATGATAACTCAGTTCTTAAGGGCAGCATTTGCATTGTCTGCAGTAGTACATGTTTTCTGATTTTGAGATAAACCCTCAATTTGCTGGACAGGAAGGACAGAGTGACCGTGCAGGAGAAGGAAATGGCAGCCCAGAAAGAGCAGGAAATTGAAGAGATGGACAAACTAAAAATAGAAGAACGACGAAAGGAGACACTCAGAGTAAGTGAGGATGTGTTTCTGATTTGGTCCTAAATGGTACATAGGAGAGAAACTTACATTAAAAGTTACCCTAAAGTTGGCCAAAATCTCACTTCTGATGCAGCGCTATTAAAAAAAAATTGGAAAAACGAATCCTTCCTCCATACCGAGCACAGAACTAGCAACCATGTGTAACTGACACTTATCCTGATGGTCCTGACAGCTGACTTCTATCCTTTGACTTTCCTGCAGTTAGTGGAGAAAACCAATCGGCAGGAGTTGGAGTTGGAGGCAGAGTCCTCAGTCAAGGAGGCTAACCTGAATAGTGTCAACACGGATGATGAGAATGATGAGGAAGAGTATGAAACCTGGCAGGTACGAGAGCTGAAACGTATCAAGAGAGACAGGGAACAACGTGAGCAGTAAGTGCTAAGCAGTGGTCAGTGAATTGCTCTAGGTATGATTGGAAATGTCCACTACTCATGGTGGTCAATGGGACCTGATTGTCTTAATTGGCCTCATGTTTCATCTGCTGACGCCAATCAGTGGAATATAAGTAAGCTGACTACAGGCAAAGTGATTCATAAATGTGACTCTCTGTGAAAATGAGTCACAAGTCACCAGAACCACATTGGAGTTTTACTTTGTATTTAATAGATTGAGGAATTTGAGTCCTTTGTTTGGATGTGTCACTCAGTTTGGTGTGATAGAAATGGATGTTGTATTTGTTAAAATGTTGGAGATTCCTGTTAAAAACTCTGCAAGATTCTGTCAAAGGCATTTGTCTCAAAAGTGGCTCTGATGACATGACTCATTATTGAAGAGCTGATCACAGAATTAATGTCCAACAAAAGAAATTAACCCCTTTAAAACCTCTTTGTCCTTAGCACTTCAAAATCCCCTGATACCTTTCAATGCATGTGCTGGTTGAAGTAGCACAGACTCACACACATACCATACAACCTGAAAGCCCTTGAAGCAATCTGGTGCTGAGTGTGCCATCCTTGTCAAAAGTCTTTTTGAGTGGTAACCTAATGTTCTTCACTGGTGCATTCTGTTATGCTTCATTGCATTCTGCTTATGATCTCTGCTTGCTGATCCAAGGCACAACCTTTCATGATGAACCAAAAGGGTTTTGTAAGGTTTGCCTGTTACTTTCCTTGTTGAATTTGGGTATATATTGGGAAAATTACCTGTTTTTGTCTTGATAACCCTTCATTACATCACACTCCCTATAGTAACATAGTCTCTTGGTTGTCCATAATGTGAAATCTCCAACTCCGCCATGTGCCCAAAGGAAACTGGTGTCACTCATTTTACAATTCAAGAGGAATGGTCAATAAAAGGACAATATATGGAGTTGGTCATCAACCTTGGTCATCAATTGGTTATCAATCTTGGTCATCAGTCTTGAAGTTCTTGCTGTAATTACATTGACTTTAACTTCACCAATAGAAGTATGCCAATGAATATACAGTCACGATACTTTGTGTTGTTATTTCATGTTTCTCACATTTACATATACGTTACATTTTTGTCAAATAACATTAAGGTTTATTTTAACAAAATGTGTATTTGATGAATAATACACTAGAGAGCTATACACTGCAGCATCTATGCAGTTCATGTACACATTTTGAATGTGCAAGCAGCCATTGCATTGAACTCCTAAGGCATTGAATTCAGAATCAACCAGTATTTTAACTGGGTCCCACAGATTTTCTAATAAGAGTGGACTGTAGGTGTGCCCTTGTACGTATGCTTTTTGTGGCCTGTAGAGTGAGCTGTATAGAGATTTAATGATTGCTCTACAGAAACATTGCAAGGCTCATTTGCTTATTGTTGTGAGAGAAACCATCTACAGTCAACAAAAATGTCTGAATTAGAATGACCCTGAACAAGGAAAATTCCAGAAATTAGGGGTCCAAAAGTGTGACTTTTTGTGTCCTGTTACATCTGACCTTTGCTATTTGACATGGAAATATCACTGGAATTGATTTTAAACTATTACTATTTGTTTGGCAGGTAATTTACATTAATTCATCACTCCAGGAAATTACAAAATGTGTTCTCAACTTATGTAATCGTATGTCAGATGTGACAGGGACACCAAACAAATGGACCCCTAATTTCTGGAATTACCCACAATTAATTTTTCATGAAAAATGGGGTGTTTTACTGTGACATCATGGAGCAAAATGGTTTCAACTGTCCATTTTTCTGTCTCCAGACTCCAGAAGGAGCTAGCAGAGGCAGAGCGTCTACGTAATATGACAGAGGAGGAACGTCGTAATGAGCTGAGGGTTAACCCCAAAACCATCACCAACAAGGCAGTCAAAGGTCGCTACAAGTTTCTACAGCGATACTACCACAGAGGTGCTTTCTTCTTGGTAAGAATATCAAGACCATTTCATTGGAGGATAAATTTAGGATTCTATGGAGAAGAAAGGTTGAAATAATGCACGGATGATCTAGAACCTTATGGTTTATATTTTATTTCTTCAAAATTGTATTACTGACTGAATTACTCCTATTTAATAGAAATACAAGAAGCCACATTCAAGTTTGTTTTTTGTTTTATCTTTTCACCTATAGGATGAAGAAGACCAGATTTACCAGCGAGATGTTGCTAAGCCCACTCTGGAAGACCACTTTGATAAGACAGTCCTGCCTAAAGTCATGCAGGTACACCTGGGGCTTTGAAATTCTATGTCAGCATTGTAGTACTGACAGAATTACTCCTAATTGATATTGCATTTATTAGCTCTGTTTCTTTATGCTCAAACTAATGATAGAACACTGCATTAAAGTTGGATGCACTCAATCATAGAGTCATTATTTCATCCCAGAAGCTTGTTTTGATTGTCCGAATGTGGATGATCATTAGAAAATATTTAATTTTTACAGTGTAGAACTAAAGTCCAAAAAAAGATACAGGATTTTGTTGAATCTCAGAGAGTGTTTTCTCCTTTTCAGTCCCTTTTCCTGCAACTTAAACATACAAATAAACTTTAACCAGGTTGTGCAGTATTTTCATAAATTCAATATTGTACATTCCACCCACTATCTGTGTATAACTCAAACGTTACATGTACAACTTTACATGAGCCACAGTGCTCAGATCTGAGCAAAAAGTACTCATAGATCACAAAGTGGTTGATTTGGGTGGATTTATGAAACTTCTAAGTAGTAAAGGGTAATGTTAATTGCTTTCCCCTCAGGTCAAGAACTTTGGTCGGTCTGGGCGCACCAAGTACACTCATCTGGTGGATCAGGACACTACTGAGGTTGATGCACCTTGGATGCAAGACTCTGCCATCAGTCGCAAATTCCAGGCCACTGCTGCTGGTGGAATGAAGCAGAGCTTTGAGAAGCCCACTAAATCACGGAAGACAACATCTACGTAGTTTTAGCAGTGTGGTACTTCATGACAAATCTGTCTTTTGGTTTTTTTGTGTGTAAAACTATCGAAATACTCAGCCAACACAGCCCTATTTCATGGAGCATATAAATTTGTTAAGTGCAGAAAATACTTTTGCCAAGCCCCAAAAAAGTGAAGCAGCCCAAATGCGAATGGGGTGTAATTCCCAATAGACCGTATTCACGGCGTCCCCAATTTCAGTCGTATTCCTGAATGTACAATTTCAATTTGAAACCTGTAATGGGATGGTACCAGGTGATTTTGGAGGTCGGAATGAAATTGTAGAATATAGTCTGGTTCTTTGAATTTAACGTTTTCAAATAAATACACTACCTTGAGGACAAGGCATAAATTGGGGACACCGGGAATACGGTCTATTACTGGTATTCTTGAGGTTTTTGCTAAGCATGGAAAGTGGCTAAGCAATATTTCTGGATCAGTGGTTCTATGAAATTATGACTAGGTTTATGGGTGGATGTTATAAAAGACTGCTGTAACCCTAAGGGTTTATTTAATGACCAAGCTGCTCTACAGAATATCTAGGGTGGCACCTTGGCTTGTACACGTTGCCAAGGAGGTCATGAAAGCAAAGAAACTGGGGCTTGTATAAAGTTTGCAGACATGGGAAGAATTCCAAATGGTGACCTGTAGAGGAGACATGCCCCTGTGCTTCCCTTCCCCTATAGTTGCACTATACAATGAGATGCATTCTTACCAGGATAACATATCATAATCGTCTGTTAATTCAGTTCAACAGCTTTTATGTGACAGCTGCTAAACCAACCATTATATGATGACTTCGTTTGACCTCTGAACTTTTTTGGGGGGGAAGAAGGAAGCATGAAGAACATGATTTTTGAAAAAGGCAAGGTGTATAAGTGTTTACCAAATTCAAAATAAAGTCAAACACCACAAATGCTGACTCCTGAGAGGTTTTGTACAGTATTGTTTGTTATAAGGATGTATACATTTAGGGGAAACAGGGCACCAGCATTTTGAAGGTGAGTGAACCGAATTGGTGAATATCATTTTGGGAAAGTGTTCCTTTCACTAGGGTCTGTCTTCCACCCTTCAATGTTTTTTTAAGTTTTTGTAACCAAGTGATGATCTGAACTACATTCATGTGTAATTCCTACTCCTGGCCCTGTCTACTCTGGTGGGCAGTGGTCTGTCTACTCTGATGGGCAGTGGCCTGT